GCGTTACGCTTGTTTGTATTTTTGTTTAATTCGCTAATTTTTTACCAGTTTCAACATATATCATTTTTATCACAGTTGTCTAGCCTCGGAGTTTTTACCAGATCTATCGGAGAGTACAAGGAGTTTTTTATGGAGTTATTTCATTCAATTTTTTCCCTTTTTTTCATCCCTTTCTTTAATACGCTTGGAGGAACTATAACGTAAGTTCTGTTTCATTTTTGTCTGTCATTTTAGGTTTGTTTTACGCTCGATTTCCTTTTAATTTTAGTTATATTTTCTTGCGTAACGCGTGTCTATGTATTTCAGTTCTCACCATATGCTTCATTGATACTGTAATAAACAAACTTTAATCAAGTACGGAGCGTGTGGTTGATCACTTGAACTACACCCGTGGAACGCGACAGCGAGTGTCACAGGACAAAGAGTCTCTTGAAAGGCGTCTTCAAAGCAAAAGGTCTGCAAATTCCTTGCATTCCCCACCTGAGTTTTGGGCTGCCTCAATGTAAATCGAGCAGGAAAAAACATGCTGGTCGACAAAATCTCTTAAAAGACATTAATAAATTCTAAAACAAAAAGGTCGGCAGATGCGTTTCATTCCTCACAGGAGGTGAGGACTGGCTCAATGTAAATCGACACGCTGGTTCTGATAAAAGTTTTTGAGAAGATAACCCTATGCCTTGATCAACTACCGCTTAAAATTCAATTCACAAAGGAAAAGAGAACACTGAAAATCCTGGTTCTGAGTCGAGAAGCGAACACGCCGTGTTCCTCAATGTAAATCAAGCTGCAAAGAACAAGCTGGTTCTGACAAAAATTTGAAAGCTTTTTTGCTGGTTTAAACGCAATTTATAAAGCAAACCAGAGCACTAACTGCCATTTCAAACTATCAGTCGTATTAAAGCTTGCTCACGTGTTAGATCCTCCTGAACAGACAACGAACAGCTGCACACTGAATCAACCAATTTCGGACCACGAGTTGTAAATACAAGACCATGACGTCACTACCCAAATATGGTCAAAAATGCAAATTTTAGAGGGTTACGCAGAATTTGAGAGTTTTTGCCTACATTGCGCGGCGTTATAATTCTGCCGTCGAGGCAACTTCGCTTCTTAGCTCGGTTGAATCGTTGGCAATTATACATGATACAAAGTTTCCTCAATATCATTATCTCATTTATTAATGCAAATCCAACCTTACCTATTAAAAAGCCTACCTAAGCTAGTAAAAGTGTTGGCATCCACAATTAATCTTGCACTACGCTTTTGAATTCTAAGAAGCCTAATAGGTTAGTTTTCATTCGTAGTTTTTCCCCACCCAGAGCAGCAATATTCTAGCATTGGTTTTACCAAATGGTTAAATAACAATATCTTAAGGGGTAGAATAAGGTAATTTTTTGCCTCTTTTAAGGAGGCTGGCCCTAGAATTTAGCTTAGCGTTAGCTTGACGTAGACAAACATCTCAACTGAAGTAATTATTAGAGAGATTAAGAGTCAAAGAGTTGAACGGCAAACGTGAGATTCAAGTTAAGAATTTCACACAACACAAAATAAGCAGATAAAAACTGTCCAGGACAATTCTTGTGGATAAAACTGGCGCGAAGTTACTTAATTTTTATTAGACTAATAAACAGTAAATGACAATAGCCAAATTTCGCATTCCCGACGGATCTGGGACGAGCGTGATTGCGAGGCTAATGCGGGTCAACTTCTTGGCAAAAACAAAAACAAACATAGGAAAATTGCGGCTGAGTCGTTGGAAAACGATACAAATCATGAAAATAATAAGATTTCAAAGCTCGCACTTTACCAGTACGCTGAAGGGATATCTGTTTCAAACAGCAAAACTGTGGAAAGAGCAGGTCGAACTAACAGAGACATGAAAAAAGCCACGACTAAAGCCAAAAGAAGAAGTAAACTTCAGCTTGAAAATGGTAAATTAAGCTTATGTTTAAAAGTCAATATTCGATTCCCTTTTATTTTCAAACTTCTTATTATCCTGTTTTACTCGTGTGTATATCTGTAAAATGGATTAGTATTATCATCTGTATAACAAATCTGTATTCAACTTCTAATCGAGTGAAATGTGTATACGTAGATCGTTTTTCTACATGTGGCTGAATGTTTTTATAAACGATGTAAGCTAAATGTATAAATAAACTTATACCTTTCAAATAGCCTTTGTCCATTCCGATTTAACTTCCTTACAGTGCAAGGAATCTATGCAGAACTTCAGCCCCGTCGTGATAGATATTTTTCCACCGAACGTACTTGTTCGGTTTATTTCAAATACACAAGATTTTTCATCCGCTCCGTTAGAAAATGTCAACTGAAAAGTAGTTGTTTTAGTAAATACTTAATTGCATTTTTTCGATAACTACCACATTTCAATGAAAGGCTTACTTAAAGAAGCTAAAAAGTTATAACGATCACTGAAAATGGACATTAAAGTGGCTTCAGGGTTTTACCATGTTTTGAGGATTCTGGGACCTCCCCTTTCCACCCCCTCACCCCCCATCTTCTCACCAACCCACTCTTCCGGACAATTTCTGGTTTCGCTCGTTGTTTTTCTCGGTGACGAAGAGCTGATCTTCCTTTTGCTGTACGTAACAATGATTTCTTAAGCCTATAAGTAAGTTTGGGGCCCACCGAAACATTAAACCTTTAAGATTTTCCTCATTTTCCGGTACCTCGGCTTCAGTTTTCTCATGTTTGTTTGTCTTCAGCCTTGCTTTTGCGCGAAAACAAGCACTCGCCGTAGGCCGCCCGGGAATACGAAACTTGCTTACTAAGGGGGAAACTTGGTCACGTGGTACAAATTCACGTTTGCCGTTTGGAGTAAACGTGAATCTTTTAAGATTCAAGCAGGTTGATAATTAAAATCTCTCTATTATCAACCTGCGTACTACTAGAACTGCGGACTGCCAGAATCAATAATGTCGAGAGCGTACCGTATGAAAAGATGGGAGTTTTAAGCTGGATAAATAAAGAATACTTATGGAAAGTGCGGCGTACGGTATTAACGCAGGAGTTGTGGAGGTATCAGAAATCCTCGTTCGATTTCTGATACAAAATCGAGTGCGTAATTTCTATATACCATAAAAAGAACTGTCCATGTTATATTGTGTTTATTATATACATACTGAGACATTCATCATTTTGGCAGCGTTTTTATTTCAAATCTTTCCAAAATGCTAAAATTTTCAGCTACACACCACGAAATGACAAACAAAACGAAGCATAAGCTTATTAGTAAAAAAGTGTGTTAACAATGTTAATGAGGGTAAGGATATGAGGTAATCCAAGAATTAAAAGTTCACTTTTTGTTTTGAATGCACAATTGAAAATGAATGAATTAAAGTAAAATGGCCGATTTGAATATAAGCTTAACTTAAGTAAGGATAGAAGACAAAGTAGCTCCGATAAAGAGCACAACTTGCTTACGTCTCGTTGTATTTTTCCCTTTTCGCTGTTGTTTAGCCGGCTCTCTTCAATTCTCTTCATCGACAGAGAAATATACGAAACTATTCTACTCCAATTTCCGAGAGGTTTTTCACTTTTTCTCCAGAACAACTCTTCGAGAAAAAAGTTTCTCGTTGAATGTCTGCGAAGCACTCGCAAGGCGAGGGCGCTGAAAGTTGCAAGCGCATATAAAAGGCGGGAATTTTGGGGTGAAACTCACACACCTCTGAGGCTTCAGATTGGAAGTATGATTTTTCTCACTCGTGAAAACTAAAATCGTTCGCGATTCTGATGGATTCTGATTTTTCACGTATGGAAAAACATCGTTTGCTCCTCTAATTGGTTAGAACTCATTTGCGTATGAAAATTTACGACAAAGCTTTTTGGAGAGTATTTCTCAGTATGTATATATTTATATATTAAATTGAAAGATGTGATAATCAGCTCTAATTTCGTCAGAATCCTGTCGGGGAATCAAGATTTTTTTCTCTCCCAAACTTGTGACATGCTGACTTAGAGGGTTGTCCAATACACCCGCACCGTAACGGTCCGTATAAGCCATGTGTCGATCCGTACGGATCGAACGGATCGACAACAGGGGTATACGGTCTGTAAAGAGTGTTTTACGGTCCGTAAATCTCATCTCATTAGTGGGACTTAGGATATTTTCATGGCAAGAGTGGTTATATACGGTTTGTCGATCCGTACGGATCGAACGGATCGACAAAAGGGGTATACGGTGTGTAAAGAGTGTTTTACGGTCGGTAAATCGCATCTAATTAGTGGGACTTAGGATATTTGCATGGCAAGAGTGGTCATATACGGTTTTTCGATCCATGCGGATCGAACGGATCGACAAAAGGGTTATACAGTCTGTAAAGAGTGATTTACGGTCCGTAAATCGCATCTCATTAGTGTGACTTAAGATATTTTCATGGCAAGAGTGGTTATATACGGTTTGTCGATCCGTACGGATCGAACGGATCGACAAAAGGGGCATACGGTCTGTAAAGAGTGTTTTACGGTCCGTAAATCGCATCTCATTAGTGGGACTTAGGACATTTTCATGGCAAGAGTGGTTATATACGGTTTGTCGATCTGTACGGATCGAACAGATCGACAACAAAAGGGGTATACGGTCTGTAAAGTGTGTTTTACGGTCCGTAAATCGCATTTCATTAGTGGGAGTTAGAATATTTTAATGGCAAGAGTGGGTGGGCGCGATCCATTCAACTAAAATTTCCGGAAATTTCGGTCCAAAACTCAATGGATCGGTTCGGTCCAACCGGAAAAGTTTCGAAAAAACGGGTCCACCTTTTGAGGTGGACCACTTTTCCCGGTCGGACCAGCTGGAATTTTGGTTGAATGGATCGCGCCCGGTATTTACCGTTTTTCGATCTGTAAGGACGGTACGGACCGACGAAAGGGGTATACGGTTTGTGAAGAGCTCTCTTCGGTCCGTAAAGTGCGAGAGGTTCACGTTGGCGATCATTGGGTCCCTATAACTTAGCAGATAAATTATAAGAGAGATATTCAGTACTATGATGCTGTAAACTAGAGGTAGTGTAATTGCAAATATTATGATAATTTTACATTGACTGTTATGTATACTCAGTGTCCAAAGTGCAATATTTTACAATCTCTTGGCTAAAATTCTATCGTAACTAACTGCAACAGTGACCACTTTCTTTACTTTTTGCCCTTTTTCAGCCCGAGTTTTTTCTTGAGTACCTTTTACGGTGTCTAAGTTGGCGACCCGAAACGAATCATTCAAACCATATCATGGGTTATTTCTTACGTGTATTGATTTGAACTGTACCAAATTGAACTGCCATTTCCCTAACAAGAACGGCGCCATAATTCCAACCTTCCCGAGCAACATTCCATAGCCAATGTTTGGTGGTTTCCCGAGTACATTCAACCTTAATGCAACCCTTTTCATCCAACAAAAAGGTGAATTCCCAGTCATGATTTCCTGCTATCACAGCAAAATCTCCTCCTGGGAAGCAAAAGATAAATGCGGTATTTTCAAGATCTGCTCCTTCCTTGATGGCTTCAGGTATAAAGGAAATTCCTTTTTCAAGGAATTCCCGGTCACGCTTTTGTGCACTTGTATTGGAGGGCCACCTGTCCTCGGTACCACATCGCGAAATTAACACTTGGCCCAAAGCTGCAGGTGTTATTTTGACTTTCTTGTATTCGCGCACATCACCCTAATTTGACAGAGAATAAAGGAGAATAGACATAAGCTACGATATACGGTCATTTGATTGTTGGGTTGGAGACCCAGGTTGAAACGAGGTTGGATCACCAAGCCAGGTTTTTTGAAAAGGGGTGATATCCTACTACGGTCAGCGGTCAGCGGGAATGGCGGTCGTGTTCCCTTCGCTAGAGACCTTTTCCGACATTCTTATGTGATATAACTAAGCATTTCTTCTACGCTATCGTCATTTTGTCTTCACTTATTCTAATCATGCCCAACAAAAGTAAATCCAGTGCGAAATCAAGTTCTGCCGAGCGGTGGAAGGGTGCGAAGATGCCGAGTTCGATTAGATTAGTATTCGTGAACTCCTGCAATTACAAGAGCGTTTAGATGCTCATCTGGATAATTTGTATGCTACTCTTGATTTATTAGACTTCCCCTTCCAAGTTATAGGAGTCAGTGAAACTAGAGAAAATGTTTTAAGAGGATTCTAAATGAATAATGCCTTGCATGGCTATAATTTGCATTCACAGGCTTCCAGATCAGCTGTAGGTGGTGTTGCTCTATACACCAGCAAATCACTGAATGCTGTCAAAAGAACTGATCTTAGTGTAACTGATGAGGAATTTGAAACTGTTTGGGTTGAGATTAAGAATGTAAAATCAAAAGGATTTTGTGCTGTTTTAACTAAAGGCACCCTTCGTCCTCTCCTGAAAGATTCATTGAGCATATTGACACCATATTGCATAACTTAGCAAGAGAAAATAAGAATACATTTTATACTAGGAGATTTTAATATCAACCTACTAAATTGTGTAAACCATCCTGCTTCTGAACATTTTCTCAGTATGATGAACTCTAATTAACCATTGCCTTATATTCCCCAACCAACCCGTAAAACCGATAGAAGTGCCACTTTAACTGACAACATTTTTGCTAACACTTTCAACTTTAATGCTCTTAGTGGAAATCTAGTCTAACCAAAATATCTGACCATTTCCCACAGTTTCTGATCATTGAAGATCTTAAAGTAAATTATGCCACTTTTAACTATTACAAACATGACTATTCTCATTTCAGTGAGGAAGCTTTTATTGATGAAATATCTCAGCTTGATTTCTCTCCTATTTACAATTTGTAATTGGAACACTAATAGCAAGTTTGATGTTTTTTCATGACCAAATCGCACCTTATAAAAGGCTCTCCAAGAAGGAGGTTAAAATATCCTCCAAGCCTTGGAATACTAAAGAAATCTTTGCTTAAATGAAGTATAGGGATAAACTATATTCCAAATTACTTAAAAGTAAACAACCAAATCCTAACCTTCATTATCTCTATAAGAAATTTAGAAATAGGGTTGCTAAAGATCTGAAAGATAGTAAAACTGACCTCATATTTTAATCAATATTTTTCTTTTAATAAGCATAACATGCAAAAGCTATGGTATGGTATTAGATCGATCTTAAACGTTGGTAAATGTAAAAACAGCTACATAACTTCCATTTTAAATAATAATAAGTCTTTTGACAATCCTGAAGACATTACAAACATCTTTAATAACTTTTTTGCAAATGTTGGTAAACTACAGAGAAGGGAATCCCCCGGGGAAGTCAGAGCCCATCATTCTACCTTAGGGGTAGCTACTCAGGATCAATTTTTTTATCCCCTGTCACTTCGCATGAAATCTGGACTTTTATTGCTAAAATGGATGCTAGCAAGTCTTCTGGCCCATACAGTGTACCTGTTACCATTTTGAAAACTATTAGGGACCATATATGTGAGCCTCTTGCATTTTTAGTCAATAATTCCTTTGCTAGTGGTAATTTTCCCGAGAAATT